GGTCCTCGCCGCGGTTTCGTTTGCGGTAGGCTCGGTCACTCCACTCCGCGCTGTTTTCGTCGCCTGGACGACCTCTTTCGTCAGCGCTTCGGCCCGTCGCCAGACCTCCCGGACTGGCACAGTTTGCTTAGTCGTAAGATTCAGATTTTTGATATGGACATGGATGCCATTGTTGCTGCTCTGCATGTGATGTATGCTGATGACTCTAGAGTGCTTCCCGCTTATTACTCACTGTTGCCTAGTGTAGGTGTGCCTAGCTTAGCCTCCCCTGCTGCGTCAGGCGTAGGATCCCCTGCTTTGTGTAGTCTTGGTGCTTCCGCCGTCGTTCCGTTGCCAGACGCCTCTGCTTTACTTTCCTTCACCTTGGACTCTGGCGCTTCTCGGTGTTTCTTCCGCGACTCTACCACCCTGACGCCGCTTCCTGTCCCAGCTGCCGTCTCTCTTGCTGACCCCTCCGGCGGTCCGGTCGTCGCCCGCAATTCCACCACCCTTCCCTGTCCGGCGGTTCCTTCGGGCTCTCTCACAGGTCTGCATATCCCCTCGTTCTCCAGGAACCTAGTTGGTGTCGGCTGCCTCCAGGACCTTGGCGTCACCACTACGTTCCCTGGTCACGAGCGGTATGCTGTCTGTACCGAGGCCGCCACTGGTGCCCCCCTGTCCACGTTCCCCCGGGACCCGGTGTCCGGCCTGTTCACTCTGGACACCGTGACCCCCCCGGCTGGGGCGCCTCCTCAGGTGGCTGCGTCTACCCAGGTTGCTGCTGCCTGCTCCTGTCGGTCCCTCACTCACCCGACTCTCCTTTGGCACCACTGCCTAGGTCACCCTGCGCTCCCGCGTCTGCGTCACATGTCCCAGCACGGTCTTGTCCTTGGTCTCCCAGGTTCCCTCCCCGCGTTTCCCTCCTCCCCAGCCCCACCTTGCACGCCTTGTGTTGAGGGTCGGCTTCGCCGTGCCCCGCACTCCTCCTCGTTTCCCCCTACCGCCGCGCCGCTGCAGACCCTGCACCTGGACGTCTGGGGCCCCGCCCCCGTCCCTGGGCCGCGTCGAGAGCGCTACTTCCTTGTGCTTGTCGACGAATTCACTCGTTACACCACAGTTTTTCCCCCGGAGCGCAAGGCCGATGTGCCTGGCGCTCTCATCCCCTGGCTTGTCTCTGCGCGTGTCCACCGCGGTCTCCCTGTCTTGCGTCTTCACTCCGACCGTGGTGGCGAGTTTGCCTCAGGTGTCCTTGGTCGCTTTTGTCGTGCGGAGGGCATCACCCAGACGTTCACCCTACCGGACTCCCCACAGCAGAATGGGGTCGCTGAGCGACGCATCGGTTTGGTCATGGAGGTGGCTCGCACCTCCATGATCCATGCCGGTGCACCCCATTTTCTGTGGCTGTTCGCTGTGCGCTATGCTTCTAACCAGCTTAACTTGTGGCCGCACCCTCAGCAGCCGCAGGTTTCGCCGACTCGTCTTTGGACTGGGTCTCCTGGTGACGCGTCTGCGTTCCACGTCTGGGGCTGCCTTGCTCACGTCCGTGCCTCCGGCACGGACAAGCTCACTGCCCGCACCCTTCCCTGCGTCTTCCTTGGTTTTCCCCTTGACGCGTCCGACTGACACTTTTACCACCCGCCGTCTCACCGCTTCTTTCACTCTCGTGACGTCACCTTTGACGAGTCCGTCTCCTACTACCGTCGCTTCCCCCACCGTGGTCCCCCGGTTACCCCCCCCCTGTTCCTGGTCACTCCTTCCCCGGTAGTCCCTGCCCCTCCTCCTCCTCCTCCCCGTCCCGCCCCCTCTGGTGTGTCCCACGTCACCCCCCTTCCGTCGGTGGACCCGGTTGAGGAGTCTTCTGACTCTGGTGGCCCTCCTGTTCAGTCCTTGCCGGCCGCCCCTCCCCCAGCGTCCCCTCCCCAGTCCCCCCCTCCACCGCCTATGCCGCCGCTGCAGCCGTCGTTGTCGCTGCCGCCGCCGCCGCCGCCGCCGTCGCAGCACCCGTTCGCTGACTCTGGGGGTGCTCGTCCCGGTAGCCCTGGGGGTGGTCCCTCTGGGGGTGCTGGTGTGGAGAGTGCCGGTGGTAGCCGAGGAGCAGCTTGCGGTCCCGGTGTCGCCGTTGTGCCGCCGCAGCAGCAGTCCCCGCCGGTGTCAGCCCTTCGCCTGCTCGGCCTTCCGTCCCCTGACCCTGCGTCGGTTCCTCCCCGGCCGTCTCCTCCTCTTCCTGTCTACGGCCCTGTCTTCCCTCCGCGGGACTCGTCCCCGGCCCGTCTCCCCCCTTGTTCCCCTCCTGTGTCCCCTCCTCTGTCTCCTGACCCGACTCCTCCGTCGCACGTCTGGTCTCACCGTCCCTCCCGTGCTCGTCCTGCCTCGCCTGTCTTGCGCTCCCACCCTATGTTGCTTCGTGCCCACGCGTCTCGTCCTCCCCTTCTGCCGTCGCCTCCTCCGTCCTCCCTTGTTGTTGCTCCCCCCCCGCTGTCTGACTACCTTCGTGCCGCTCGTCCCCTTGTTCCTCGGGTCCTTGCCTCTCTCGTTACCGACCCGTCTGTTCCGTCCTCGTGCCTTGACGCTCTTGTCGCTGCTGTCGCTGACTTCGCCTCTACCCGCCGCCTTGACTACGCCTCCGCTCTGGTCTCTGACCCTGCCGGTCCTCCGTCTGTCGGGGGTGCTCCTGCCCTTGGCAGTGACGTCCTGGAGGACCGCCAGTTCGAGCTTGCTTTCCTCTCCGAGGCTGCTCCCCATCTCTGTTCCATGCTGCTAGTCCCTGAGGGTGACCCAGACGCTTTCGACATCCCGACCCCTCGCACTTACGCTGAGGCGACTTCGGGACCATGTGCCTCGCACTGGATAGCTGCCATGGAGCAGGAGATGGCATCTTGGAGATCCACCGGCACCTTCGTCGACGCAGTTCCCCCGCCTGGGGTGAACGTAGTCGATGGCCGCTGGCTCTTCAAGGTGAAGCGCCCTCCTGGAGAGCCGCCTGTCTTCAAAGCGCGCTATGTCGCTAGAGGCTTCAGTCAGCGCGAGGGGGTGGACTTCTTCCAGACCTTCGCTCCGACCCCGAAGATGACTACTCTTCGGGTTCTGTTACACCTAGCTGCTCAGCGTGACTACGAGCTTCACTCCCTCGACTTCTCCACTGCCTTCCTTCAGGGCAGCCTACACGAGCAGGTCTACCTGCGGCGCCCTTAGGGCTTCACTGGCACCTTCCCTCCTGGGACCCAGTGGCTCCTGCGGCGCCCCGTCTACGGCCTGCGCCAGGCTCCCCGTGAGTGGCACGACACTCTCCGTGCTACGCTTGCTGACTTGCAGTTCTTTCCGTCTTCCGCAGACCCTTCACTCTTCGTTCGTGCTGGCCAGACTCCGTTCTACATCCTTGTTTACGTCGACGACCTGGTCTTTGCCACAGCTGACAGGGACGCACTGACCTCCGTGAAGGCAGAGCTGCTGAAGAGACACACGTGCACTGACCTTGGAGAACTGCGCCGTTACCTTGGCTTGCAGATCTCCAGGGACAGAGCTGCGCGCACCATCACCCTGACTCAGTCACACTTGGTGCGCCAGGTCCTTCAGAGGTTCAGCCTTCAGTTCTCCTCTGCACAGCCCACCCCTCTGCCTGTAGACCACAGACTCTCCGCTCCAGTGTCTGAGGAGTTGGTAGAGCCCAGCGGCCCCTACGCAGAGCTGGTGGGTTGCCTCATGTACCTGATGACTTGCACTCGCCCAGATCTCGCATACCCTCTCAGCATCCTGGCTCGCTTTGTGGCCACAGGCAGACACCGACCGCAGCACTGGTCTGCCGCTAAGAGGGTTCTGCGTTATCTTGCTAGTACATCGGGCATGGGGTTAGTGCTAGGAGGACGCAGGCCAGTGGTCCTTACTGGACACACAGACGCTTCGTGGGCAGACGACGCTGAGACACTCAGGTCTACCCAGGGCTACTGCTTCAGTCTTGGCTCAGGTGCCGTCTCGTGGAGAGCTACCCGCTCCTCGTCTGTTGCGCAGTCCAGCTGTGAGGCTGAGATCTACGCTGGTGCCATGGCGGCACAGGAGCTCCGCTGGCTGACCTTCTTGCTCACCGACTTAGGTGAGCGGCCTAGCTCTGCCCCGGTCCTGTTCGCTGACAACAGGGCCATGATCCTCCTGTGTCAGGAGCCTCGACTCGAGGGCAGAGCAAAGCACATTCAGCTGCGGTACTTCCTCCTGCGTGAGCTACAGCAGCGACGTCAGGCTCGCGTAGTACACTTGGCCTCAGGTGCCAACACGGCTGATATCTTTACGAAGGCACTTGCGCCTAAAGATCATCAGCGGCACTGTGTACAGCTTGGTCTAGTTCCTGTAGCCTCTCACTTGCTAGGACCTTGACTTTGTACTGTCATTTATACGTATAATCAGACTGGACTTGTGTCCTCTTCTCAGTGGCTGGACTAGTAGTGCCGCCCTGCTCTTGTGCTTGCCTTGTTTGTACTCCTTCTGACTGGTCTCTCAGACCGTTGTCTCAGAGGTTGGACTAGTAGTGCCGACCTGAGCTGTTTGTTTAGGGCATTCCCCTATGCAGTCTAGGGGGTGTGTCAAACATGTGTATTTGTCATGTTTGTATAGACTGTATAGGGTCGCCTCTTAGAGAGTACAATACTTAGGTATATCTTTGTGTACTCTCACTCTATCAATTATTCAATTCTCAATTCTGATATTTTCTTCTTTTTTCTTCTTCTTTTTCTTTTTTCCCGCGTGCCGTTTGTTTCGCCTGTATGCTTCGTCACTGACTGTTCACATTCGCCTACTCTTTTGAGAAGTTTGTCCGGGTACTGTTTACACTTGAGCGCGGCTCAATGCCCTGCTTCAAATTTCCGAGCAATTTCGGCATTTCAGTGCGACATTGAGCCACAGGCTCGGGAGCCCAATGTCGCCCCCCCTCAGCAGGAACCTTTTTGGTGCCATTGCCAAAATGTTCCAGAAAACACCCGCCAAGGGGGCACCTGTTATCTGCAAAGTTTTCTACATGTTTAGGTCGCACAGAAGTGCGTAATCTGTAATTCGAATTCAAGCCGACAGGCTTATGCTAAGCTCCAAAATCTCGTATGAGCACATGAAATGGGTTCGCGGGCTAACTGACATCCACCTACAACCATCGATGGGAATTTTCAAACTTGCTGCGGTCTACTCACTTCTTGATGTAGCACCACCACCAATGCACACTACTGAAGCTCTCAAACAAGCATTGGAGCAGCTACTGTTACAGCTCTTCCCCATGTCCATCCTTAATGCTATTCCTGTTCGGAGGGACAAGCTTAGACAGAAGACCATCAACCATATGCATGGCATTCACCCCCACCTTACCAACCACCTCATTCACATGCCCTACCATCGACACAACCCGTTTCCCTACATCACTCTTCCTTGCCCTGATGAGCAGTCTCTTTGCTTCCTTGGCTGCGGAGCTCCGTTGAACCTGCCGAATGAGCTTGTTGGTGTGCTTGCCGACAGTTGTGCCTTGGAACCGCTTCACAAGAGTTGCCCCACTCTCAGAAGCCCGCTGGAAGAACGCTTGAGAGGAGAGGTAGATTCGACGAAGAGGGGAGTTCAGTGCCGCCTCCTGCTGCTTCTCCTGCAATGCGGCACCCAGACGATAGTTTCAAGGAGTCATGGTGAGATTTCTTTTGAGGCGCCTCAAAAGCAGTCATGGTGAGATGCTTCATTCAAACGTCAGCAGACAATCACTGCCCGTGACGGAACTCTTTCTATTCAAATCAATAAGTAGGTGTGTTTTGAGTCGATTCAAAATGCACGTGAAGTAAGAAACTCCTCCAAAGTGCACTTTTGAGTCGAATTACTGCACGCGAAGGGCCTCCTCCAAACAAGCAAACAGAAAGAGCAAAGAATAAGAAAGCGAAACAAACAGAATCCCTATCTCCATCCACTCTCCCTCTCGCTCACTCACTCGCTAACTCCCTCTTTCACTCCCCCCCTCACCTTCTCATCTGCTGCTTTAAGGGCCGCCCGAATAGCCTCCATGTCCACATGGGTACCAGGGCCCAGCTCGTTCCTTAGCTTCTCCTCAGGATCCTCCTACCTCCACCACTCATATGCATACACACATACCAGCAAACACGCACCCACCTTTTCATCAGCAGCCTTCAGAGCGGCTCTAATGGCCTCCATGTCGACATGGGTACCAGGGCCCAGCTCGTTCCTTAGCTTCTCCTCGGGATCCTCCTCCTCCCCTTCCTCATCCTCCTCCTCCTCATCGTCTCCCCCCATTCCCACCCCCCCCATAGTCGTCTTCTTTAAGAGGTCGTCGCGCGAGTACAGCTTCATCTTGGGCATGCGAGGGGCGTGGGGGTTCTGCACGGGGGGGTGGGGGTGGGGGTGGGGGGGGGTGGGACAGGGATGGAAAAGCAAGGCAACGAAAACGTGGGAGTGGAGAAGAGGTGCCGTAGAGAGGAGAGGTGCTGTAGAGATGAGAGGTGCCGTAGAGAGGAGAGGTCATCGCATCGCACGAGTACAGCTTCATCTTGGGCATGCGAGGGGCGTGGGGGTTCTGCACGGGGGGGTGGGGGTGGGGGGGAGTGGGACAGGGATGGAAAAGCAAGGCAACGAAAACGCGGGAGTGGAGAAGAGGTGCCGTAGAGAGGAGAGGTGCCGTAGAGAGGAGAGGTCATCGCATCGCACGAGTACAGCTTCATCTTGGGCATGCGAGGGGCGTGGGGGTTCTGCAGAAAAGTAGGGCGGGCGAACGGAAAGGGGACGAAACCAAGGGATCGGGGGCGAGGGTGTGGAGGAAGGATGATAGGCTTTGTCGGGCGAATGCAGATTCCTTTTAAGCATGCAAGGGGTGCGGGGATTCTACAGAGAGGAGGGGGAGAAGGGATAGGAAAGGTGTGAGGAAAGGTCATTCTGTAAGCCCAGCTTCCATTTCGGGCGAACAAGGGGCACGGGGGTTTGCAGAAAAGTAGGTGTAAAGGGAAAGGGAAAGGGAAAGGGGAAGGGAAAGGGGAAGGGGAAGGGGAAGGGGAAGGGGAAGGGGAAGGGGAAGGGGAAGGGGAAGGGGAAGGGGAAGGGGAAGGAGATGCAGGAATAGGTAAAGGGGAAGGGAGTGGAGGAAGGTTGTTTGGCCACAATGCGCCCGTGAGTGTCAATCTTGGGCAACTGAGTGAGTGACCGAGTGATGTGATGCATGTCGGCTACCTACCCCCCACGCACCCACCTCCCTCCTCGCGGTATTTCTCTCTCTTCAATTCCATGTGCCTCATCATCCCCTCCCTCTTATCCCTCTCTCTCCGTGTGAGGGTGGCTCAAATCACAACCCAACAACAGATGCCACCCGCCCACCGCCCACCTCTTCGCGGAATTTCTCAGACTTAAAGTCCACTTCTCACACCATCCTCTCCCTCTCCACCTCCGTGCTGCTTTCAGTTCAGTTCAACCAGTGTGGCACACAAACAAACAAGTCCTGCCGCCCACCCACCTCCTCGCAGTGTTTCTCCGACTTCAAGTCCATATCCCGCATCATCCTCTCCCTCTCCACCCCCGTGCGTGCTCGTCAAACATGCTCGCACCAACCAGCAACAGAACCACCTACCCACCCGCCCACGCACCAACCCACCCACCTCCTCGCGGTACTTCTCAGACTTCAAGTCCATATCCGGCATCATCCTCTCCCTCTCCCCATCCACCTCTCTTTGCGTTCAGCCAGGAAGACACACAAACAAACAAGACATGCCGCCCACCCACCTCCTCGCGGTACTTCTCCGACTTCAAGACCATATCCCGCATCATCCTCTCCCTCTCCACCCCCACCTCTCTCTGTGTTCAACCAGCTTGACACACAAACCAACAAGGCATGCCGCCCAATTATCCACCCACCTCCTCGCGGTACTTCTCTGACTTCAAGTCCATATCCCGCATCATCCTCTCCCTCTCCACCTCCGTGCTGCTCTTGCGACTGAACGCCTCCCCTGGCTTGCGACCCTGCAGTGTGCACAGCAAGAAAAGAGCACCCGGACGGGATGCGGGGGCGTACATATCACAGACGTGTCATCTATCCCATTCGTCAAGTGATCTCTCCTCCCTCTCCGCCTCCGTGCTGCTCTTGCCACTGAACGCCTCCCCTGGCTTGCGACCCTGCAACACGCAACAGCAGTGGAAATGCCGACACGCATGTCACATTGTGCCATGCTGTGCACCACACCACATGCATCACTGCCTCCTGCTCTTCTCCACCTCTGTGCCGCTCTTGCGACTGAGCGCCCTCATAAGCAGCAGACATGCCTTGGGAAGTGGAGGCGGTTTCTTCCGAGGTGACTTTTGAGGCGAGTCAAAAGGCACCTCTGGCGACCGAACGCCTTTATAAGCAGGACACACGCCTTGGGAACTGGAGGGCTCCGCAGCCCACCTGTAATCCATCTACGACATATGCCGACACACATGTCACAACGTGCCATGCCGTGCACCACATGCATCACTGCCTCCTGCTCTGCACCCCCTGTGCTGCTCTTGCGACTGAACGCCCCCATAAACAGGACGCATACCTTGGGGGAACTGGAGGCGGCTTCTTCCTGCAGGTGACAGAAGCACAACGCGGCTCCCTTGACATCACGCGCAGGAGACATACCTTGGGAAGTGGAGGAGGTTTCTTCCGACATGTGGGGGTGATCTCGTGGCAGAGCTCTTTCACGAAGTCAGCCTCTTGGATGGACGGCTGGGAGTAGAGGAGCTCTGCCACGTCGGTGTCTGAGAAGCCAACCACCTGATGGGGGAAGATGAGGATGCATGGGGATGGATGGATGGATGGATGGATGGATGGATGGATGGACGGATGGATGGATGGATGGATGGATGGATGGACGGATGGATGGATGGATGGATGGATGGATGGATGGATGGATGGATGGATGGATGGATGGATGGATGGATGGATGGATGGATGGATGGATGGATGGATGGATGGATGGATGGATGGATGGATGGATGGATGGATGGATGGATGGATGGATGGATGGATGGATGGATGGATGGATGGATGGATGGATGGATGGATGGATGGATGGATGGATGGATGGATGGATGGATGGATGGATGGATGGATGGATGGATGGATGGATGTGAGCACAGCCAGTGAGAGGATCGGTGGCAACTGCATGTCACCGTCCATACAGGTGAGTTTTCTGCCACTGGTTGCATTCATATCCGTCCGTACAGGTGATTTTTAAAGCCACCGGTTGCATTTATAACCGTCCGTACAGTTCATTTTCAAGCATCAACGGTACGGATGGACATGAATGCAGTGGTAAAGCACTGGAGTCAATTTTCGGAGTTCTCAGGTGTGGACGGGTATGAATGCAGCTGGTGAAGGGATGATAGCAGCAGTTGAGGAGTAGAAGTTTGTGTGTGAGAAACCAACCACCTGATGAGAGGGAGTATGCGGGCTAACCCTTGATCGATCCTTAATCGCTACTTGCTCCGCCTGCCACACCTAGCCTGCTCCGCCTGCCACACCTAGCCTGTTCCGCCTGCCACACCTAGCCTGTTCCGCCTGCCACACCTAGCCTGAAACATCCTTTCTGGTGCTGCCTGCCTCTGCCACACCTAGCCTGAAACATTACCTCCTCTCACCCCTCTCACGATACCTCCTCAAAAGCAGCTCACACTACCTCCTGGCAGGCCTTCTGGATGGGGTGACTTCTGAGTCGACTCAAAAGCCGCTCTCACGACACCTCCTCAAAAGCCGCTCATATTACCTCCTGGCAGGACTTCTGAATGGTCTTGCACTCGGTGCGACAATCCCCAGGGTAGGGGAACTCCTTGAGCTGAGGGCAAGGGGGTGGAAGTGCCGGGTATGGGGTGTGGGGGGTGGGGTATGGAGGTGTGGGGTATGGGGTGTGGGGTATGGGAGAGGAGACTTGTAAGTTGAGTTGAATCACAAGTCTTGCACTTGGTGCAGCAATGCTCATTTCCCACTCTCTCTCGGCTGGGAATGACGCGAGGTGAAGTGGAGTGGAGGAATCCCTCAAAACGCGACAATGCCTGCTCTATATCAAACATCTCAAAAATGATTTCTGTTTTGAGTCCATTCAACCCTAAACTCAAAAGTCATGTCGCAGTGAGGTGGAGGGATCTCTCAAATCACAACAATGCCTGTTCTCTATTAAACGGCTCAAAAAACTCCCTTCTGGTCTCTCCTCCCTCTGGCCTTACCTCCCAATAGTCTCACATCGAGCTTGACCCCCTTCCCCTGGAATCCATCCATTGAATCCAGTCGCCTTCGGCCTTACTGCCTGCTCTATTCTGAGACAGTTGAACAAATCGTATCCCACTACTCTCGCATCCCTCTACTCTCACCTCGAGCTTGTCCCGCCTCTCCTGGGTATCCAGCCATTGGATCCAATCGCCCTCGTCCTTGCTGCCTGCTCATTTCTGAGACGGTTTAAAGGCACATTCCCCGCTACTCTCACATCCCTCTGCTCTCACCTCGAGCGTGTCCCCTCTCTACTGGATATCCAACCAAGCATCCAATCGCCCCCGTACTTGCTGCCTGCCACGCCCCGCTAGTCTCGCCTCCCCTTAATCTCACCTCGAGCTTGTCCCCCCTCTCCTGGATATCCAGCCATTGGATCCAATCGCCTTCGTCCTTGCTGACGTCACACGCTGATTCTACGAGCTCAATGATCTTCAGCTCCGGTAGCTGGGGGGGGGGGTATGTTTCGACCGGGGGGGGGAGGGGAGGGACTGGAGCATTTGGAGACGGCTGGAGATTCTACGAGCTCAATGATCTTCAGCTCCAGTAGCTGAGGGGGGGGGGATGTTTCGACCGAGGAGGACCGGGGGGGGAGGGTGACAAAAGAGAAGGGGTGGACGGAGAAGAGGGAGGGGAGGGAATGGGGCATTTGGACGTGTCTTGGGCCTCATCAAGCTCCGTAAACTTCAGCTGCGGTAGCTGAGGGGGGAGGGTATGTTTCGACCGAGGAGGGGGGGGGGGGGGGGAGGGGAAGAGAAGGGGGGAACGGAGAGAGGGGAAGGGGAGAGAATGGTGAATTTGGACGTGTCTTGGGCCTCCTCAAGCTCCGTGAACTTCAGCTGCGAGATTTTACCACTTTCAAAGAGGGGAGGGGAGGGGAGAGGAGGGGAGAGGAGGGGAGAGGAGGGGAGAGGAGGGGAGAGGAGGGGAGAGGAGGGGAGAGGAGGGGAGAGGAGGGGAGAGGAGGGGAGGAGGAGGGGAGAGGAGGGGAGAGGAGGGGAGAGGAGGGGAGAGGAGGGGAGAGGAGGGGAGGAGGAGGGGAGCGGAGGGGAGGGGAGGGGAGAGGAGGGGAGAGGAGGGGAGAGGAGGGGAGAGGAGGGGAGAGGAGGGGAGAGGAGGGGAGAGGAGGGGAGAGGAGGGGAGAGGAGGGGAGATGAGGGGAGAGGAGGGGAGAGGAGGGGAGAGGAGGGGAGAGGAGGGGGGAGGAGGGGAGAGGAGGGGAGAGGAGGGGAGAGGAGGGGAGAGGAGGGGAGAGGAGGGGAGAGGAGGGGAGAGGAGGGGAGAGGAGGGGAGGAGGAGGGGAGGGGAGGGGAGGGGAGAGGAGGGGAGAGGAGGGGAGAGGAAGGGAGAGGAGGGGAGAGGAGGGGAAAGGAGGGGAGAGGAGAGGAGAGGAGGGGAGAGGAGGGGAGGAGGAGGGGAGCGGAGGGGAGAGGAGGGGAGAGGAGGGGAGAGGAGGGGAGGAGGAGGGGAGAGGAGGGGAGAGGAGGGGAGAGGAGGGGAGAGGAGGGGAGAGGAGGGGAGGAGGAGGGGAGAGGAGGGGAGAGGAGGGGAGAGGAGGGGAGAGGAGGGGAGGGGGAGGAAGTAAGGGAGTGTCGGCGATGTCGCCAGCCAGACCCTACGAGCCTCACGACATCCAACACGAGTAGCTGAATTTGCTTTTGAGTCCAACACGACTCAAAAAGCAGATTCCAGCACTGGCATCTGAGTTACTTTCCTTTTGTCGTTCACTGTTCCGAGAACTGCAATCTCCGAATGCTTCCACAGGCGCCATGGACTGAAGCAGCAGCTCTGTCTGGCAACTGGTCGAACTCGCGATCGATTACCTTCTTCGGGGCGACCTCCGCGCGTTTCTCCCGCACTTGCCGCAGCAGGTTCTTCGCGAGCAGCGCGCACACGCCGCACTTAATCAGCGGCACGTCCTCCTTGCGCGCTACATACTTCTTAGCGGCGATCGCGGCGCGAATCCCGCTGATAGTATCCGTGCAAATACCGCCGGTAGTACTACTACTGCTAGAGCGTTGCTGAGACGGCACGAGGAGTAAGAGGATGAGGAGGAGGAGAGATGGCGAGAGTAGACTATGCAGCGAAATTCGTATGGCTCCTAACAGGGATCGCGAATGCACGCTGTTGGCCATGTCGAGCGTTCGCGAGTTGTGAGGGATTTGGTGCAATCTAGTACGCTGATTGTACCCGGCGATGACCTTTGTACGAGATGACTCTTGAGTCGTCTCAAGAGCCAACTGAGGGATTTGGTACAATCTGGTACGCTGATTCTAACCGATCGACGGCCTTCCTTCGCCCGCCTGAACGAAAACACCGTCCCTAAGAGCGTGCTCTCGTCAGATTGCGGTTGCGACTTGCTGCACCGGGGACTCGACCCTAGACGACACGCAAATATGAGCTGATTCGCTAAAAACCAGCCATGGCTGCTCCCGAATCCGTGTAAAAAAAAAAACTGAGCCGATTTCTAGAAACTGGTCGTGGATCAGTTGGCTGGTTGGCGTTAGGACGTGGAAGAATGCGTCCGGTTCGCAAAATCGCTTTCTGAACCTCGAACAGTACCGTGTTTTAACACTTTGCATCGATTTGCACCGTACAAAAACCTTTTAAAAACACTTCGATATGATCTGGACGCGGATCTACCAGGGCAATTCGGACGCAATTTACCACGTCCTTATGTTGAGGGATGTGAGGTTCGGACAGTCAGCTGCCATGCGGAGCTCTAAGGGCGTGTCCAGCGCGTTCATTTTGCCCCAACACGAATTTTGACATTTTTTTAACACGCCGAAATATTGATTTGCCTAGTGTGAATGTTTTGAGGTACACCCACCGTATCAACAAAAAAACGCGCGGACACGAGCCCCGCCCGTGGCTCGACAAATGAGCGGGTGCGCAGCGCGCACATAACAGACTGAGACACGAAAACAGCAGGGTAACCGAATTTCGCCCCGGGAAAGAGGCCCCGCCCGGGAGGGCGAACACACATTACGAGCCGCGACTCCAATTCTTCTTCCGCTTTTTTCGTCGTGCTTCGCAAGCGTCACGAAAGCCTGGCGAATATAAGCGTTCTATCTTTCGCCAGCCAGGATTTGGACGTTTCTGCCGTGTACATAATTTGCGCACGATTTTCATTCGGTTCGGAAACGTGTGGCCCACGTCTGTCGGCACGTTTGGAGGATGTCCGCCAAAACCGTCAATTTATCGTGCGTGTCCGAATGGACACGAAACTTCGGGTTACCAGGTCAAACATTTGTTCCTGATATGCAAAGTGAATAGTAAACGAACGCGCTGGACACGCCCTAACTGGAATCGAGTGTGCTTCCACAAGCTTTTATCGTTGAACGTCAACCGTGGATTCGCCATCGGGATTGACGATGAACTGTTTGGCACGGCCATTCGGTTCGGCCAGCCGATGGGGGGTAATGTACGAGAGACGCGATTTTGCTCACCTCCATACCTACATTATCCATTGCGATAAAACACAAACCGTACCGTAACAGCTACAATAAATAGCACGAGGTTTGGGTATGTGAGAACTAAGATTGATTGTAATCAGATGAATCCCACCGCCTGGAAGACATATCAAGCTGCGCAGATGGGGACCGCTGGTGCAGGTTTGGCCGTCGGGCGAAAGGCGCAGGTCCGGGAGAGCGGCTTGGCCTGGATGCAGATTGATTTGGAGAGCTGGCATGACCAAACTGGTTCTGCTGCTGTTGCTGCTGCTGGGGTAAAAAGCCGCTGTTACCATCGAATGAAGCGCTACGCGCACTGGCAGCAATGGATCCTCCTGGGCCAGGAGGACCTCCTCCAGAGGGAGGGTAAGCACCAAAACGACCACCACTGCCGCTGCCACCACCGCTCCCTCCTCCTCCACCACTGCTGCCACCAAACCCACCACCACTGCCAAGGGCAGTCCCACCAGCAAAACCATGGCCAGCAGCAGCAGCACCACCTGCACCAGCACCAGCAGTGGCACCAGCAGCACCAGGACCAGACCCGAGGTGGCCATGTTCGGGCGAGATGCTGTGTGAGCGACGATGGGCGTGGGGGCGGCGAGGGGGCATGGAGGGAGGAGAGGGGGCAGAGAAGAGACTGGTGGGAGAGGCGGCGCCTTCGGGAGAGGGAGGAAGAGCGGTGCTGTAACCACCACTGCCACTGCCACTGACACTGCCACCGCCCCCACCGGCCCCGCTGTTATAACCACCATCACCAACGTTGCCACCATCCCCACCGCCACTACTGCCATAACCACCGCCACCACCACCACCACCACCACCACCACCACCAACAGAAGATGAGCTCTTGGAGAAGGGAACACTGTAGCTTCCGGAGCTACCACCGCTTGAGCTTCGGGGGAGACCCGGGCGAGGAGGAGTGGCCCGAGCCTGCTGCTGGGATGGGGGATACCCACTCGCAAGTTCACTTTCCGCTCCTCCCCCTCCTGCTGCTGCTGCCATGGCTGCCGCTGCTCTGATCGCCTCCTGACCCTTGGATATCTGCCGCATCAACGGCCCCATGCGAATGCCAGGAGGTGGCACCAGCACGGATCCAGTCCCAGGGGATGAAACTGCAGAGGGAGCTGGAGCAACAGGAGCAGGGGCAGGGGCAGGGGCAGGGGCAGGGGCCGGGGGGGCGGGAATAGCAGCAGCCAGAGCCGGGTTTAACGGGTTGGGGGAACCGGGTATGGCAGAGGGAGCAGGCGGCTTAGCCATGGGCGATGTATTTCTGCTGGATGGCTTTCCTATAGGGGGAATGCTGCTGGGTGAACCCTGGGCCAGGCTTGTCATTGCGGCTGGTGGATTAGGGTTACAAATAGGGTTACCAACGGGGTTACCCGGGCCTGTCAGTGCCACGTGTGTGGAAATGAGCTGCTTGGGCTGGGACTGGGAGCGCTGGAGAGGCGTTCTGCGCGTGGGGGGGCGGTCAGGAGGCGCTCCCCCCAGGCCCCCTCCCCCTGGCCCTCCCCCCATCGCTCCCCCCCCTGGGCCCCCTCCCCCAGGGACGGGCGAAGTGAGAAATCCCCCCCCTGGTCCCCCAGCAGCAGTGTTTGGCGAAGTGAGCGAGTTGTGGTAACCACCTGGCGAATGCATGGATGAGCTGGGTGGTGTGAGTGGGGGAGCTGCGCCATAGCCTCCCGGACCCATGCCTGCCACCATACCTGCCGCCATGCCCGTTCCCGAGCCTGACTCCTCTGCCGAACCAGCTGACGCGGATCGTGGTAATCCTATTCTGTTACGGTCTGGTGTGCGAAGCCTCTCTGTAACAGCTGCTACACCAAACGGCCCATTAGGAGCAATTGCACCTATTTTCCCGGGTACAGGGCCAGATCCAGGCACACTATTAACTCCGTCGCTAGTAGCGCCACCACCTAGGAGGCGGAAAAGCGGCGGACACGACGTGGGGAGCAGAAATGCATGGTCTAGGAGCAGCATAGCACTAGGGCGGTTGGCCGGGTCGCGTTCTAGGCACCGTCTTAAGAAGCTCCGGCACTCGGGCGACACCTCCGGCGGGATATGCGGCACCTCGTACGTTCCCCCTATCATGTGCAGCACCGCGTCGCGATCGCACGCCCGCGCGCCGCCACCGCCGCCGGGGGAGGAGTCGGCGGCGGCCACGCTCCCAGCCGCGAAGCCCGCGGCTTCGAGCTGCGCGGTCCAGGGCGGCTGGCCAGTGATCATCTCGAGGACCGTGCACGCGAACGACCAGACGTCCGCCGCGCAGCCTTGCTCCTCCTGGCGGACTACCTCCGGCGCCATCCAGCTGTACGCGCCCGCCCCCTGAAACCGCGCCTGCTTCGGCGCTTTCCGCGCGCCCGCGCCTCCGCCAGCGGCGGATTCCGCGGCGTCGGCGGCGCGGATTGCGGAGCCGAAGCTGCAAAGCTTCGCGTCGCCTTTGCTCGCCGTTATCAGCACGTTCGCGCCGCGGATGTCGCAGTGGACGATCCCCCGCGCGTGCAGGTCCCGCAGCCCCTCGCAGATCCCCCGCGCGTATCTCCGCACTAGCGCTTCCGGAAGACTCCCGCCAAAAGCGGACATTATATCCGCTACGCTGCCGCCCGAAACGTACTCCATAAAGAGGTTCCTAACCCTAGCGCCCGGAGCCGCGGGATCGTCTTCCCAATCCGCGCCCAGTAGCCGCACGACACGTGGCGAGTTGCGAAGGTCTTCTAGGATCGCCTGCTCGCTGTCGAGCTGTCGCATGTCGCGCGGGAGGGCGCGCGACGACACGGATTTCGCAACGAAGATTTGGCCCGATTCGGCGTGGAGGGCGAGGTAAGCTTTACTGCGCGGATCGCCGCCGAGTTGGGGGCCGCGAGTCCACTGCGGTGAGTCGCACGGCGGCCCCTGCGACAGCCCGTGCGGCGATCCGTGCGATGAACAGTGCGACGAGCTGTGCGACATCCCGGACGACGGCCGCGACATCGGACCAGCGGAGGATCCAGGTCGGGATGGGAGATTGTAGTCCGGCTGGTGGAATCCGTTATTAGGCCCGGGATACCCGCCATTAACGAGGATGTGGGTGTTGGCGCTGGGGTGGATGTTGGGGTTGAACTGCGGCTGACTTAGGTTGGGGTTAAAAGGCTGGTTATAGCCATTACTGAGCTGGTTACTATCGATGCGCGGAGGATCTAAGCTGGCGGAACGCAGCAGGTTACGACGGCCTTGGGCGAAACCTATCGACTGCATCGCTGGTGCTCTTGAACACGTGGCGGCGATCCGCAGTAGACTAGTTAAAACAAATGCAGTAAAAAAATACGAAGTTAGTGAAGACTGGAACGCAGGAACTATGTCAGGACGGCGTGGATCCTAGCGGTGTCAATTAAACAGCTGAAATACTACAGTTGGCCGCCGGCATTTCAAAGCTTCTAACAAAAAGGAGACTCAAACAAAACGCAGATTCAAGCAGTCAGCAGCAATAGTGAACCGTAGAACCTGCATGAACAGACACCGACTGGCAACAGAAGCTAGCAATAGTGTACTGTACTCTTGTCCCTGCTGGCACCTCAGGCTTTTGAGTCTAGCTTGCCGTACCGTCAGTACAGGCAAGGATGAAACGAAGGTGTGGTTTGGATGCAGCCTTACTGGAGGTTCGGCAAGAGGCTCACCAACAAATTGGTGAACCTGTATGCTTGGCTCGCATTGGTTCGTTCGTGCTTTGGCCTGGAAAAACAGTCGGTGCGGCGTCTACACCGGGTGTCCAGGGAGTCCTGGAAATTTGACCTGGCTCACACCCCAGCCTGCGCCCAAAAGCCACCAATCACGGGCAAAGGCCATTTCAACTGATGGCCCATTCATCTGGGTTTTGTGGAACCTGCGACACGGCGGCGGCGAAAGTGTCCATGCAAAGGAGCTCGCGAAAGCACAAATGTCCACTTAATGGCCCATTCTCCCGTGGCGAATGCTGACGAAAAAAGTGTGCTCATCACGTCCACGCGGTTCGTCGAAATCGGGGCTATTGGGTGCGCACCCGGTGTAGGTTATTTGTTCGTGCAGATCATCCCAATGGTTGAACCTGTGGCGGCTGCGGACCACTCAAATACACCTCCAATATAAGCTGTCCCCCACCCCCGACATCAGTTACACAGATGGTTCCAGCGAAATGAGTCAACGCCCCCGTTGTTCTCCTCAATACGGTTTCAAAACCCCAACAATACTACAAGGTTGCTATAAAAATGCTTTCTATCATATTTAAAAATCGTATGCACCTAGCTGACTATGTAAGCATCTTGCAGGCTACAACGTGGTGCTCTAGCACAATTCTCTCAGCCATTGCATAATCGTCATTCACCATCGCCACTATTCCCACTCCACTGTAGCTGGAGGCTTTGATGTGATATCATACACTACTCGATTCACCCCGCTCACGCTGTTGCAAATGCGGGCTGAAACCTCACGAAGGAACTTTGTGTCAAATTCAAACCTGTAGAGAATATGCATGGTGAGCCGGGGAGATAAAGGGGACAAGGGGAGTGAGAGAGAGGGTGAGCGAGGGACGGAGAGCAGGGGGGGGGGGGGAGGGGGGAGAAAGGGGGGGGAGATGAAAGTGAGTACGACTGACACGCTGCCGTCTTGACTCATGAAAGCTCGGCTGCTGCCATATGGGAATGAGTGCACCTGTCGCGTTGCACACTAGAGCTCTTAGAACAAGTACATCTATCCACTCACCAGTCCGCTGTCATGCCGTCTTGGCTGGTGATTGCTCTCAGCGAGATTGCGAGTGCGTGCGCCTGTAGCCTTGCACACTAGAGTGCGTGCATATTTGTGCATGCAGAAACGAGCCCAACCCCACTCACCAGTCTGCTGCCACCCCGTCTCGACCCATACTAACCCTCGGTACCATCACGTGCGAGTGTGTGAGCCTGTCCACTTGCACACCCATATATGTCTATGTGATCGAGAATGAACCACCCTGCACTCACCAGTCTGGTGTCATGCCGTCTTGACTTGTTCATGCCCTCAGCGCTGAGGGAATGGCATAACAGCACACGTGCGAGTGCGAGTGCGTGTGCCTGTCGCCTTGCACGCCCATGAACCGTACGATGAAGTAAAGGCATCCCCTCTCCCCCACACGATTATGGCTTTTGAGTCGACTCAAATGTCAAGTCGCCTTGCAAGCCCATGGACCGTACAATAAAGGACAGGCATCCCCTCTCCCCTGTACGATTAAGGACAGGCATCCCCTCTCCCCCGTACGATTAAGGACATGCATCCCCTCTCCCCCGTACGATTAAGGACAGGGACCCCCTCCCCTCCATACAATCATATGGGTGCATACAAAATCAAACCCCTCCTCACTCACCAGTCTGCTGTCATGCAGTTTTGACTGGTGATTGCTCTCAGCGAGATTGCGAGTGCGTGAGCCTGTCGCCTTGCACACTAGAGTGCGTGTATACTTGTGCGTGCAGAACGAACCCAACCCCACTCACCAGTCCGCTGTCATGCCGTCTTGGCTGGCGATTGCTCTCAGCGCAACCACGTGTGAGTGCATGCACATGTCGCATTGCACGCCCTTATGTGTGCGTGGTACGTGTGTGCAAGGGAGGAGAAAGGCCAGTCCCTCCGCACTCCACTCACCAGTCCGCTGTCATGCCGTCTTGGCTGGTGATTGCTCTCAGCGCCACCACGTGCGAGTGCGTGCGCCTGTCGCCTTGCACGCCCACCGACCGGACCGGCAAGAAGACGGCGAACGCCTGCCAGATCTGGTCATAGAGTCCGGCCTCCTTAATCGCATTGATGAAGATCTCATCCACCTGATGGGGGAAACCGGGAGAGGAATGAGAGGGAGAAAAGGGCGTTGGGATGGAGGGCGAAGGGACTCGAGTGGGAAACGCTTGAATGCCTGCCAATCTGCCTTTACAGACCGGCCTGAGCAGGTCCCACCTCAGCAAGACCCACCTGACCCTATCAGCATATAACCCACCTCAGCCACCTGAAGAGGCCATATCGGCATATAACCCAGCTCAGCCACCTGAAGAGGCCCTATCGGCATATAACCCCCCAGAATCGGCCCTATCTGAATATAATCCACCTGGCGGATGGTGTTCAGGTGCCCATCAGCCCACACATCGCCCAGCATCCGCATCCCCAGGCCAGGTCTCAACTAAGCAGGTGCTATTTGATCCGATAACAGCTGAACTGTGCATACCTGGCGGATGGTGTCCAGTGCCCCATCAGCACACACGTCGCCCAGCACCCGAACCGCCAGGCCAGGCCCGGGGAAGGGATGGCGGGAGAGGAAGGAGGAGGGCACGTTGAGGAGCGCCCCGATCTTGCGCACCTGGTGGGGTGAGGTGGGGTCGAGGGTGGGGTAGTTAGCTTGGGGTGGAGGAACGAGGAGCGGGATGTTTTGCAGGGTGTTTTTTAGAATTTGCAGGGTGTTTTTGAGAATTCTCAAAAACACCCTGCAAAATAGCGTGGGGTGGAGGAACGAGGAGCAGGAAGGGGTGGAGGGAGAAGAAAGAGGAGGTCACGCTGAGGAGAGCTCCGATCTTGTGCACCTGGTGGGGGGAGAGGAGAGGGGCGTGGAAGGAGGGAAAAAGGAAAAGGGTGGAGAAAGCAGAGGGTTGAATAAGAGGAAGTGGTGAGCATGAGAGGGAAGGGGTGGCGGGAGCAGAAGGAGTGCATGATGTGGAGGGCTTCGATCTTTCCCTCCCTCCCTTTCCCTCCCTCCCTTTCCCTCCTTCCCTTTCCCTCCCTCCTTTTCCCCCCTCCCTTTCTCCCCTCCCTTTCCCCCCTCCCTCTCCCCCTCCCTTTCCCGCTTCCCTTTCCCGCCTCCCTTTCCCCCTCCCTTTCCCCCTCCCTCTCCCCCCTCCCACTCCCCCTCCCTTTCCCGCCTCCCTTTCCCCCTCCTTTTCCCCCTCCCTTTCCCCCCTCCTTTTCCAACCCCTTTGCCCTTTCCGCCCCTGGCCCTTCTCTCACTCACCTCGCCCTAGAACATCAGCCATTTGAGGGGCTCCACGAGGGTGATACCTCGTGCGCCAACCACACCTCTCCCCGTTTCTCACCTCGTCCTTGAACAGCCATTTGAGGGGCTCGACGAGGGTAAAGCGCATATTCTCGGGTAAACCACCCACGTTGTGGTGGCTCTTGATGGTGTGAGAGTGCTTCTTCCCGCTGCCGGGCGGCGGGCACGACTCAATCACGTCCGGATACAGCGTACCTGGCAGGTGTGAACAAGGGTTTGGGGAAGGAGGGGAGAGGGGGGGGGGACGGGGAGGAGGAGGAGGAAGAACGGTTAGGCCACTCAATCATGTCCACATACAATGTACCTGGTATGTGGTGTGGACAAGGGAGAGTTCAGAGGGATGAGAGGATTCTTAGGTGAGTCAAACATGTTTAGGCACAAGCTAACACCGATGTGAAAAAAGGTTTGAAAAGGAGGCGGAAGAGGGGAGGGGCCTGTGGGGGTTGGAGGGGTGGAGGGAGGGAGAGAGGGAGGGAGGGAGGGGGGGGGGGAAGAGAAATACACTGTGAAGAGGTGAGGATAAATTTGGAGGCTCGATCAAGCATTCACACTATTCGTGATGTTCGCCTCTTCCTCTCCCCTGCTTCAAACCGATTCAAATGATCCTTTCCGTATTAACCCACAGTCGAGAACTGCTCACCTTGAAGGCAGTCGACTCGATGCCTGCCCAAGTGCAAGGAGTCTGTTTTTGAGGCGCCTCAAAAACCGATTCAAATTATCCTTTCCGCATTTACCTACAGTAGAGAACTGCTCATCTTGAATTGGGCACTCGGGTCTCTGCCTGCCCCAGTGACCACTCCCTCCTGGAGTTTGCTGGCGAAGTCCCCAAAGACAGAACCAATGATTCGCCTCTCTTGCGCTGACCCCACCCCCCTCACATGACGAACCCACTCGTATTTTGAGTCGACTCAAAATACCCCCACGTGCTCTGATCCACCTCAGATGACCAACCGACCCACTCTCCCGATCTGGCGGTGCCCTCACCTCGCACCACACACTCGGGGCGGTGCCCTCACCTCGCACCACACACTCGGGTCGGTGCCCGAGCTGTTCCTGCAGCTTTGTCGCAAAGTCCTCAAACACCGCAACGAACTCTGCTCCGATGATCCACCTCTTGCTCCCCCTCTCTTTCACCAGAACTCCACCAAAGAAATGGCTCACCTTGCACCAGGCACTATGGTGAACCGAAATGGGCACTGGGAACAGCTCGGGCACCGAAATGGCTCCGCCAAAGAAATGGCTCACCTTGCACCAGGCACTCGGGTCTGTGCCCCAGTTTCTCCTCCAGCTTAGTTGCAAAGTCGTCAAAGACTGCAATGAACTCCGCGCCGATGATCCGCCTCTTCTTCTCGGGATCCGTGACCCCCTTGAGCTTTGAGAGAAACCGGTCAGAGGCGTCCACACAGGTGACTGGGAGATGAAGGTCCGCATCAAACATAGCCATCACCCGCTGCTGCTCCTCGAATCTGGAGAAAGACGGGGCGAAGATGGGGTGAAGAAAGGGAAGGGAGGGGGGGGGGGATCTGAGGCGTCCAAACAAGTGGCTGGCAGGTGGAGGTCCGCATTGAACACTGCCATCACCCGCTGCTGCTCCTCGAATCTGGTGTGTGTGTTTGGGGGCGGGGGGGGAGGAGGGGGGCGGGGGGGGGGGGGGGGAGGGGGGTGTACAGAGCGTTTCTTAACTTTCTATCGGGGTCCTAGTGTTGTAGGTGATTTTTTAGAATTCTAAAAATTATTTCTAAAAAATCACCTACATCGCGGCAGTGAGGGGGGGGGTTGTACAGAGTGATTCTAAACTTTCTCTCGGGGTCTGTCACCTGTGCACCAGCAGGGCGGCTACAGTCGAGTCAACGCTTGCTTCGTCCTCTCCCCTACAACCATAAAACCGCGTGAAACCCCGCTAAGCCCCTCCTCAACCCTCACCGGAGCAGCCCATTACCAACAAAGATGCAGTGCAACCGATCCCCAATCGCCCTTATGCACCAGCATGGACGCTACAGTCGAGTCAACGCCCTTGCTCCCTCCCTTCCTCTTCTCCCTCTCCCCAACCAACCAACGCAAAACCCCCCTAAACCCCTCCACATGTAACCCACTGCAGTAACCCATCACCCATGAATATTCAGTGCAGGCGACCGCCACTCGCCCTGTGCACCAATGTGGCCGCTACAGTCGAGTCAACGCCCTTACCCCTTTTCCCAGCACAACAAAAAAACCCTTCCAAAACCCTGCCAACCCCCTCCTAAAACCAGCTTGGCCGCTACAGTCAAGTCAACGCCGCTGCCCAACAACGCGCACACCGCATACTTCTCTGCCCCCACCGCCGAAACCCCCCAATAACCCTCCCTAAACCCCACAAGGACACCCATCGCAGCAGCAGTTCGTTATCAACGAAGATGTAGAGCACACACCGCAAGCTTCTCCGCCCCCACAAGGTTACAAGGTTACAGCCCCCCCCCTCATCCCCCCCCAAACCCCCCTCTTGCCCCCGAACCCTCTCTCCCCTTGTACCCTGCAAGACTCACATCCCCGCTTAAACCCTTCAAACCCCTACAGCCTACTCACAAACCCCATTAAACCCTTTATACACTCTTACGGCAGCAACCCATTATCGACGAATATGCAGTGCAGGCGATCGCCAATCGCCTTATGCACCAGCGTGGCCGCTACAGCCAAGCCGACCCCTAAACCCTTTAAAACCCTCCCAGACCCCTCCAGGAGGGAACCACTCACCGCAGCAAGCCATTATCCACGAATATGCAGTGCAGGCGATCGCCAATCGCCTTATGCACCAGCGTGGCCGCTACAGTCGAGTCAACGCCGCCCGACAGCGCACACACGGCATGCTTCACCGGGCCCACCGCCGCTTGGACGGCTGAGATCGCCTCATCCAGCACCTCCTGCATCTGCCAATCGGCATGCGCGCCCCCTATATCGAAGACCACACGGCGAAGAGTCTCCATGCCCCTAGGGGTGTGAGTCACCTGTGTGTGTGTGTGTAGAGAAGGGCAGGGGGGGGTTCTGATTTTATATGCGTGAAGGTACTTAACGGCTGAGATCGCCTCATCCCCACCTTCTGCATCTGCCAATCAGCGCAAACTCCGAATGCTTGAGATTTGAACTTGTGACTTCCCAAGAAAGGGGAGGTCGGCGAGCGGAGAAGGGAGGGGGGAAGGGAGGGGGGAAGGGAGGGATGCAGCAAATGATGGTAGTGGACGCCAAATGCATTGCGTATGGGCCTCAAGACTCCTCCTCCCCCAAGCATATTTTGAGTTTGAGGCCCACTAGGACACGCACGCCTCTTTAGTCCTCCTCCCCGCTTGTCCCCTCCCCCTCGCCCCACCACTTCGCGTGTGCCGCACAGCGCTACCACCGTGCCCTGAGTCGACTCTTGTGGTGCACTGAAAAGTAACCTTGTGCCGCACAGCGCCACCAACGTGCACCACCAACGTGCACCACCACCGTGCACCACCACCGTGCACCACACTCAAAAGCGACTCTTGTGGTGCAATCATGCTTTGCAAGCCTCAAGGCCCCTGCCCTCTCTCCCTCCCTCCCCTCTCCCCCCTCCCTCTCCCCTCACCTCGGGGTGGTCCTGTAGCCCAAATATCTTGAAGTGCAGCGCACTAAATCGCCACCACCGTGCCCTGATCGCTGCGAGCCCTCACTCCTCTCTTTTTCCACTCGCTCCTCACTTATCCCTCTCTCCCCCTCACCCCCCCCCCCTCGCCCCCCCACCTTCCCCTGCTCCCTCACCTCGGGGTGGTACTGCAGTCCGAATATCTTGCGTGCAGTGCACTCAATCGCCACTACCGTGCCCTGATCGCTGCGCGCCACCACTTTGAACCCCTCCGGCAGCTTCGTCGCCTCGTCGCCGTGGCTCATCCAAACGGTCTGTTGGGGGCCGAACATAATAGCGGGGACAGTGTTTATATATACCGGGGACAGGTGTTAACATTAAAGCTTCACATCTTTTGCGCAGCTTCGTCGCATTGTCGCCGTGGCTCATCCAGAATTATGTTGGGGACAGGTGTTTACAACGAGGAAAGGTGTTTACAACGAGGAAAGGTGTTTACAACGAGGAATGGTGTTTACAACGAGGAAAGGTGTTTACAACGAGGAAAGGTGTTTATAACGAGGAAAGGTGTTTACAACGAGGAAAGGTGTTTCAACGGGGAAATTATATTTAAAAGCCCTTCGGGTAGCTTCTTCGCGTCGTCGCCGTGGGGACACGAACTTAAATAAATGACGCGGACGGCAAAACTAATCAGCAAGTTGACGTCCAGTAGCAACTTCGTTAGTAGAACGATACGATTAGAACCTTAGGCAGGGTGCGAACGCTCATGTAGGCGACTGAAAAAGGTCCCACATTCACGAAATCAGCCAACACGAAGGGGTACAATAACGAACTCTTGGTGGTAACCCGTTACCTGTCGCAGTTCGCCCTCGACCTTCCCCGCGTCGCCTCCGCCAAACAGCGCCGAATCACCGTCCGCCACGATATCCATCCGTCCGTACTCCTGCGCCTCGGCTCGTGCCACGTCACCACCCAGCGTCTGAACGATCAGCTGCATCCCATAGCAGATCCCAAGAACGGTAATATTTCCCTTTATAACATAGTCGAAGAACCCCTCGGGAACCGTCGGCGAACCTTCCTCGTGCACGGAGTTCGGCCCGCCGGAGAGAACGACGATCGTCGGATGGACGGCCTGGATCTGATCCAACGGCACGCCGGCCGGCAAGCTGACGGAGTAGACTCCGAGCTCGCGAATGCGGCGCGTGATCAGCTGCGTGTACTGAGATCCGAAGTCTAAGACGAGCACGACGGAGCGCTTCGACGAGGACGTTAACACGGACGGCGGAACCCCCTGAAGGGTTTCAGACTCAGTTACTGTCATTTCGCCAGTCGCCATGATCCGATCTGTGATCGTGTGCGATGCAGTGATGGATTGATCGTTCCGCCGTTTGACGACAGCAAAACGTCGCCTGGCACTAGCGATACCGATGGACGTAACTAACGGAGGACTTAGAGATCTAATGCGAGAATGGGGCGATGAATAGCCCGCGAGGAGCTTCAGAAACGAGGAACTAGCAGGACGACATAGGAGGGAAGAGAGAATAGGGACATTCGAAAAGAAACATCCGAGTCTTGACATTTGTGCTCCATTTCCTCCTCACCTTGGGGTTTGTGAAAAAACCTTGGGTTTTGCGGGAGCCTTGGGTTCCCCAAGTGGCTGCAGAATTTCCCCCCAAAAAAGCACGTGGAAGGGGCTGCATGTTTTCCCGAGTCGCATAATTTACACCTGTTCTTCTCTATTGTCTCACCCGGAACAGTTTACATTTCACTCCCACCTATAGGGTTCTCAGTCTTTACGATAGCGAATTTGTATTTCGACAATTACTGTATGAGAATCAGATCTGGGACGTGGTGCGGGCAAATTTTCCAGAGCATGATCGAGAATTTGTAACCGAGTGAGAGTGCTTACTATTGGTTTTCCCGTTCAATATCCCGTTTGCCCGGGTGTGACCGCTTCCTACATACAGGCTCGAGCCACATGGATGAACCGTAGAACCCTAAAGGAAATAACTTGTCATAAATGCAAAGAGCGTGTAGAGAATACTTGAATAGTAAGGTAAACAATACAACCGAGGCAACATCAAAACAGTGAGTATGGATATAGCTAGCCTAGAGCACACGGTCGTGGCTCGGCAGAGCTCCGACGTGTGGTTTGCCCAGATCTAGGCATGAAACAGCAAGGCGGGCAAAATGTATGCGGCTCGTCAAGAGGTCACATTTGGGTACCTCTATTTGAATTTCGTGGCAACGCTATGCGGCAAACCCGTTATAGAAGTGAACGCCTTACAAATTAAAATCCGTGATAAAGAATACCATTTCCTTACACCCTCCCCCCTCCAAGGTATGGTCTTTCTCAAGGTAACGAATTGAGTAGAATGAGGGGATATAACTTAATGTGTTGTACTCTTTATGAGCATGCATGTATCTAGTCTATAACATATACAATTATATGCTGACACACTCCCTAGGCTAGACAAGGGGCAATGACTAGCCCAAGATACGCAGCTCAGGTTGGCACTACTAGTCCAACCTCTGAGACAAGGGTCTGAAGACCAGTCAGCAAGAGTACAAAGGAAAAAAGAGTAACCTAGGGCGGCACTACTAGTCCAGCCACTGGAACAGGAGCCACAAGGCCAGTCAAAATAATAAAAACAATAGAACGCAATCAATGTCCTAGCAAGTGAGAAGCTACAGACAACTAGACCTCCACGAGATAGCACATGCACCAAGGCTAAAGCAGTAGCCCTGAGAGGACCTGAGGGTCTCAGCGTCGTCTGCCCAAGAAGCGTCTGTGTGCCCAGTAAGGACCACTGGCCTACATTCTCTGAGCACTAGCCCCATGCATGATGTACTTGCTAGATAATGCAAAACCCTCCTTGTGGCCGACCAGTGCTATGGTCGGTGTCTGCCTGTGGCCACAAAGCGAGCTATGATGTTGAGAGGGTATGCGAGATATGGATGAGTGCAAGTCTTCAGGTACTTGAGGCAACCCACCAGCTCTGCGTAAGGACCACTAGGCTCTACAGACTCCTCAGGGACTCGAGCCAAGAGCCTGTGATCTACAGCCAGAGGCGTGGGCTATGCGGAGGAGAACTGAAGACCGAACCTTTGAAGGACCTGGCGCACCAAGTGTGACTGTGTGAGAGTGATGGTGCGTGCTGCTCTGTCCCTGGAGATCTACAGACCAAGGTAGCGGTGCAGCTCTTCTAGGTCAGTGCAGGTGTCTCTCCTCAACAATTCGGCCTTCATAGAAGCCAGTGCGCCTCTGTCTGCAGTAACGAAGACCAGGTCATCAACGTAGGCAAGGATGTAGAGCGGAGTCTGGCATGAACGAACGAAGAGAGAAGGGTCACTCGAAGATGGGAAGAACTGCAGGTCAGCTAACGTAGACAGGGAGGGGAGGCGGCGGCAAGGGAGGCGCAGGCGGGTGGGCAAGAGAGGGAGGACCGAGGAGACGAAGGGCGGACACCGGCGGCGACTGGTGCTGCTGCTGCTCCACGCCGACACCAGAACCTCCAGCTGTACCACAGCTACCTCCGAGACACTCCATGCCAACACCCCCAGATCGAGAACCCTCTTCAACACCGGTGCCACCCTTAAGATCGCCGAGACGAGCCACGACAGCAACCCCAAGACGGGCACCCTCCTCAACGCCCGCATCCCCTGAGCGCGCGGACCCCTACGGCGGCTGCTGCTGCGGCGGCGACGACTACGGTTGCTGCTGCGGCGGCATTGGCGGCGATTGCGGTTGCTGCTGCGGCGGCGACGGCGGCGGCTGCTGCGACGGCAGAAAAGGATACATTGGGGCGGAGACAGGCAACGAGAATGGCCACAAGTTAAACTAGTGAGCGGGGTAGCGAACATCAAACGGCCACAGAAATTGGGGTGTACTGGCATGGATCATGGAGGTACGAGCCACCTCCATGACCAAACCGATGCGTCGCTCAGCGACCGCATTTTGCTGCGGGGAGTCCGGTAGGGTGTACGACTGGGGGATGCCCTTCGCACGACAGAACTGTCCAAGCCGACCAGAGGCGAACTCGCCGCCACGATCAGAGTGGAGACACAGCACAGGGAGACCGTGGTGGAGGCACGCAGCTACGACCCACGGGATAAGAACGTTAGGCACGTCGACCTTTTGCTCCATGGGAAACACCGTGGTATAGCGCGTGTAGTCGTCGACAAGCACTAGAAGGTAGCGCTCTCGACGCGGCCCAGGGACGTGGGCTGCGCCCCAAACGTCCAGGTGCAGGGTCTGGAGTGGCATAGTGGTAGGGGGGAGCAAGGAGAAGTGAGGAGCACGGCGCAGCCGACCCTCAACGCAGGGCATACACGGCAACGCAGGTGAGGGAGGTAGGGTTGGGAGCAACGCAGGGAGACCGAAGACAAGACGGTGATGGGACATGTGACGCAGACGCGGGAGTGCGGGGTGACCTAGGCGATGGTGCCACAGTAGCGACGGGTGGATGAGCGACCGACACGAGCAAGCTGTAGCAACCTGGGAGGAAGCAACGACCTAGGGGGACGCTCCCACCGAGGGGGATGCGGCGTCTAGGGTGAACGGGCCAGACACGGGGTCCTGGGGGAATATAGTGAGAGGGGCACCAGTGGCGGCCTCAGTACAGACTGCAAACCGCTCGTGTCCAGGGAACATAGTGGTGAAGCCAAGGTCCTGAAGACAACCGACACCAACGAGGTTCCTAGAGAACGAGGAGATGTGCAAGCCTGTAAATGAGCCCGAGGGAACCGCCGGACAGGGAAGGGTTGTGGAGCTACGGGCAACTACTGTACCAGACCTAAGGAGGTGTCAGCAAGCGCTACAGCGGCGGGGGCAGCAGGCGGCGTGAGCGCAGTATGGTCACGAAAGAAGCAGGCGGGTGCGCCAGATTCGAGCGTAAAGGAGAGCGAAGCAGTAGCGTCAACCAGCGAAGGGGCTAGCGTGGAGCCTAGGCAAAACAAAGCAGGTGGTCCTACGCCTGACGCAACAGGGGAACCGACACTACACACAGAAGACAAGTCTACACTAGGCAACACCGAGTAATAGGGTCCAGTCACACTAGATTCATTAGCATACACGGCATACAATGCAGACCTAATCTGATCCATGTCCATCTCAAAGACAGGCACACGACGACGCACCATGCGGTACTAGTCAGGGGGGTTCGCCGTGGGGCTGAAGCGTAGACGAAAGACATCGTCGATGCGGTGGTAGCAGTGCGCGGCGGTGTGACTGGGATGGTCGTAGACTGTGCCGCGGTGGGGGGCGAACTTAAACTGGTACTGACAGGTGACCACGCTGGAGCAGCCATCCGACCTCAAGTTGCGCCCCCCTGTGAGAGTACGACCCCGTTACACCACTTGGCCTTTTCTTATTTCCTTCCTATTTCATTTCTCTTTTTATACCATCTCTTTTGGTTTTCTATTCTCCCTTTTCCATTATCCTTTGGTTTATCCTGCTATTATAATTATATCACCGACCAAGCTTGGGATGTACTGGGCGCTATATCTAGTGATGTACTTTGGAAATATAAAAGCGCCTTGTACTGATCGATAGTGCAACCTTTCCTCAACACATTCGATCCTGTGACACCCCCACCACCACGACCACCACCGCCAGCACTGCCAGTCCACCACGGCAGCAGGGGTCCCCACTGTGACAGCTGCTGCTGCTGCGGCGGCGGATGTCGCTACTACTGCGGCTGCTGCTGAGGCTGCAGCGGTTGCTGCTGCTGCTCTGGGGTACTAGCCCCGGTCCCCTCATCTAAACCACCATCCCCGCCTCCACCTCCCCCACCCTCGCCACCCCTACCACCCTTCCCTCTACCACTCCCCCCCTTGGGGTGGTGGCCCCTATCCTGATGCGTCTGCGCTGAGGTCGCAACGGCGGTCTCAGCAACAGCGGCCGAAACGTCAGAGTAAGTGCACTTGGAGGGAGCACAACCCTGAAAGATAGGGACCGTCGCAGTGCCGCTAGACTGAGCGATAGTTCGCTGGCGGGTATCTATCGCGGACAGGGTGGTGACAAAGGCGGTAAGGGTGAGGTCACCTACGTGTTGACTAAGGAAGTGGTCAGGGGCAATGGCTAGGCGGCCAGAAAGGTGCGTGACAATGAGGTTAAGGGTAGCACAAAGCGGCGGCGGGAAGGCAGTGAGCTGGGCCTCAGTGCTCGCGGCGCGGTAGCTAGTCTCAAGTGCGTGGAGGTGGGTGGCAAGGTCAGCGATAGTGGGGAAGGACGCAAGATCACGGAACAGCATGGGGAGGATCAGGCAGCCAGCAGAGGCTGAGGAGAGCATGGAATAACGCGCAACGACTGCATATAGGAATTCCTTGGCGTTTGCTACAGTGGTAAAGTGGGGACGCTGAGACAGGAGGGCGTGACTAATAGCAAGCTGCGCGACTACATGATGCGACTCCCAGACAGCGCGAGCAAGCTCAGCAGCGGAAAATGCCTCATGCTCAGCAGTGGTGGGGGCGTCAGTGAGGGCAGCAAGTGTGGGGGGGCGGGGGAGCGTACCATCGACATGAACAGCCAGGGAGTAATCGTCCTGGCGCTGACCTATCACGTGACGGCGAAG